GGTGTAGGTGGCATTGCCTCTGGACATGATTACTGAAGCCCTTACTAATAATAATAATAATAAACATTTGATATAGCGCCTTTTCAGGTCTTCGAGACGTCTCAAAGTCCCTTCACAAAATATACTGTAAAGTGAATTGACTGTATATTTTGTGGGGGAAATGCAGCAGTGCCCCACAAACAGTGGTGGATTGAAATTGCCAAATTATATTACTTTTGAAGGGATTATTACCCCGGAAAAGCGATCCGCCAATCGGCTTCCTACTTCCAGATAGGCGAACAGAGGTGTGTAGAGTAAGAAACCTTGCCCAACATTTCGCCCTACCGGCAATCAAACCCAGGTCCTCTCGCTTGCGAGGTGAGTGCTCTTACCACTCAGCTACAGGATTTCATGATGACTGAAATAGGTTACCAGTGACAACAACTTGTGTTTATATAGCGCTGATTGTTCAGGATAGCATCTCGGAGTGCTTCATAATGGCAGAATTAAGATGCTAAGGGAGAAGGGGTTCGGGTAGGTGACCATAAGTGTAGTTGAATAGGTAGTTCTTAAGGTAGGATTTCAAGATAGCGAGAGGGCAAGGAGGAGGGATGGACGCAAGTAGTTCCAGAGATTGGTGGCTGATGCCACTGAAAGTGAGATGGAGGGGTTGAGGGGGCATCCAGCAAGCCTGTGTTAGCCTAGCGAAGGGGGCAGGGAGAGGAGCGGGGTAAGAGCAGGTCGGAGAGGCGCAGAGTTTGAAGGGATTTGTAGGTTAGGGTGAACTTTTTGAAATAGATCCTTTCAGAGACATGGAGCTACGGGAGCCTGGTGAGGATTGGGGTAATGGGCTTGTGGCGTTTGGTACAAGTAAGGATGAGGGTGGCGAAGATTTGGATGAGCTGGACCTCATGGATGGGAGAACTGAGGAGACAGCGAGGGGTACATTTGAGAAGGATAGACCCACTTAAGAAACAGCTCAGTGCTGTGATGAGTAAACCGGTTAGGTGGGATCTGGAAGGATGTGATCAAGGGCTTTCTTCATCCAAACCTCTCTTTAGATCCTGTGGAGCTGTTTTGTAAACTATGGCAGGGAAGAGGAGAAACTGGATGGGGGGTGAAGTTCTGTAGCTTAGTGGTTAGAGGACTCACCTTGCAACTGGTAGGACCTGGGTTTGATTCCCAGGCAAGGTGAAACCTTAGACAAGTTTTCTTACTCCACACGCCTCTATTTATCTAGCAGTAAGAAGGAACCTAGTTGTTAGTCGATTGGCGAATCGCTTTTCTGTGGGAAATAATCGCTTCAAATTTTTGAAAGAAAATAATAATTTGGTCACTCAATCCATGGCTGTTTGTGCGCAATTGGCTGCTGCGATTCGTCCACAAAATATACAGTCAATTCATTTTACAGTATATTCTGTGAAGCGTTTTGTGACGCCTCAAAGACGTAATAAGGCGCTATATCAAATGCAAGAATTGTTACTATTATTAGAAACAAATGTCAAAGCAAATTGGTTATTAAAAAGGTTCTATAACTAAAAAGCATAAAATTCGCAGAGCAAAGTTGATTGATCTATGGATACATTGAAATTTACCATTTGTTAACTTGTTCAATCCACAGTCTTAACTGTTGAGCACCATTTACTTTCAGTAGTGAATGAGTCAGACTATTGTGGGTTCAAACCCCATTTCAGGACTTAGAACCCATATAGTCTATGATGACTGTCCATTGCAGTGCAGGAGTGGGCTGCACTGTCACAGGTGCCATCCTTCACCAGATGTTAAACTGAGGTCCTTTCTGCCTGTCAAGGTGAGCGTTAAAGATCATAATAATAATCCTTGCATTTGATATAGCATCATATCACATCTTTGAGACGTTCCAAAGCACTTCACAGAATATGCTGTAAGGTGAATTGACTGTATATTTTGTGGATGAAAGATCCCATGATAATATTCAAAAAGAGAAGACGGTTTAACCCGGTGTCCTAGCCAAGGATTCCCCTTGTAAAATTGGTCCCTCACTTCATGGCTGTTTCTGGGGCGTTGCTGTGCACGGGTTGGCTGCTGTGTTCACCCACAAAATACAATCACTACACTTCACAGTAAATCCTGTGAAGCACTTTGAGACTTCTTGACAAGGTGATGAGGCACTATGTCATGTGCAAGGAATATTATTTATTTTAATGAGGTAAATGGATAATACACTACCTCTGGGATGTTTGCTCACAGTTCCCTTCTTTCTTTCATTCATGCCAGGAAGCCCAAAAGTGAAAGAGTGGTTTTAAAATACTTAGGGCTCATAGACCATGGCGGGTGTCATGAATTAATTCCTTCTCGTTATAAAATATACCTTTAAGGGGACCTTCGTTGTAGGCAGGTGGGTCGTGAAAGAGAGATTTAACACAGAGGTTGGACTGCAAATGGGAATATCTCCTCTCAGATGGTAGATAGGTTAACCTTTGCTTTTTGTAATGCAGTCTTCAGGGAATGTAAATGTAATGTAAAATACTTCCCTTCCCCACCCTACCTAAATGGTGATCCTCTTTAGATGAGAAAAGGCCATTCAATGTTCGATGTCTTCAGTTAGGGTTCTGAAGTGTCCATTAGCTGATGTTGGTGTCATGGGGGATGTTGCATTTCAAGATGCATTATTTTCATTAAATCAGCCCCCCAGACACTTATTACCTTTCGAACCAAATCTGAAGTATAATTCAGCTGGAGTGGTTTCTTGGTCAAAATGTGAACGTAAATTGCACAACTCACTTGTCACAAAAAAAGACCTTTATTGTGAATACATAAGGTAAGTGAATGAGCTGTGATTCAGGGTTGTGCAGAGAGTCAGGTAAGTGGAGAAATATGACCCCACAATATTGCTTTCAGTTGTGTGCATTAGTGGAATTGGGAATGAATTAAGGGACTCCTTTAGATTTTGGTTTGATTTATTTTGCTTTTCTTTGGGTTTGTTTTAGAATTGAATTACCTTTTCAATTNAAAAAACTCCTTCATAAGTTTTACATTTGATGCTCTGAGCTCACTCCCCACCCACTCAAGTGAAAGCCTACATGCCAACTGTTCGTCGTGTGAAAAGCAAGCCACTTGTATAGTTCGAGTGTGGCTTTGTACTAAGGGTTTTCTTCCTTTGAGGAGTCATTGTTGGTATGTAAATCCAGGGAGGGGTGGGGGAAGAGAGAAGAGGAGAGAATGATGGTGAAAGGAGACCAAGATGATAAAAGGAGACCATGGTCTCTCTCTACAAGGGGGAAAAAATGTGGGAGAGGCAGCCTTGGTGTTTTGTATGTATATCCTTGGAGTCCGCTTTGTTGAAGTTTGTTTCTTGCTCATCTCATCAGCCAGGGGTGGAACCTATATATATATATATATATATATATGTTATATAATATATTGGGTGAATTTTGTTCTCATTAATATTGGGAAATTGTGGTACTTTGCCTTTTGGGGGGGGAGGGCATCATTTGTCAACATTAAATATTCACCAAGGTCAGGCAAAGTATGGTTTGATGCAGATCATGCTCACTTTTCTCTGTTCAACATTCCTTCCCATGACTAGTCATTTCGTAGCCTTGCTGAATCAGACTTTATGCTATGGACCTAAATCCTTTAAGACTTGCGGGCAAAAAGACGGACAGGATCTTTATTCAAATGAAACGATATACCGAAGAGGGTATAATACATCTGTGGTCCTCTCGGTGAAAAACCAATCTCTTTCTCTGCTGCCTCCACCCACTCCCCACCCCCCCCCCACTTTCTGGAATACATTCAGTGTTCAATTCAGCGTTAACTGGTAAATGGGTAACTGAGACAAACTTTAGATACTCCATATATTATTTCATTTATTCACATTCAGGCAATGCCCTCAGATTTAAAACATAGTTAAATTCTTCCAGTGGAAACTCACTGTACAAGTCAGCAAGCAACTGAGGGATTTTGCTCACATGAAGAAGTAAAAGAATCCTTTTGATATTTTGCCTTTCATGTCAAAGTGCATCTCAAAGTACTTCACAGAATTTATGGTAAAGTGTATATAGTCTATATTTTGTAGGCATTTTATTTTGGTCAGCCAGGTGTCTAAAACATGTGGAAACCCATCAGCTATCACCATGCTTAAGAGTATCCTAACCAGACTGATAATTTCATACATCCCACCTACACATGGACATTTCCCTGTACAGGCATCAGCATGACCTCACCAGTGAGTTAGTGTTACTTCAGTCCCTGATATTTCTGTGTAAACTGAGGTTTCTCGTGCTAAAGGTGATGGAATCGGCAAGTAAAATATATCGCAGGCAAACAAGAAGTAATTCTGCTGAACAACACTACAGTACAAACAAGTGAACGCATGTCAAGGGAATTGCTTCCTTTTTCTTGCCTCCACTGGAGTTTGGTGTGGCTGGTCCCGGGAAACAGAACTTTCTAGCAAATGTTCTGTGATTTCAGGAATCTACTCCACTAATGAGCAACAATATGGCCAAAAATACGAAAGACCCATAAAATTTTATTTGTCTCTTATTTTACCTGCTGGATGCATTGCAGATTTTCACAAGATTTTGTTCACCAACAAGATACAGTCAGTCATGACACTTTACAGTAAAATCCTCTGTAGACTTTGAGGCGTCCTCCCCGTCCAAAATGCTCCGTATCAAATGCATGAATTATTATTTTTATTGATAAGCCATGCTTTTATATAAAAAAGTGAATGACTGCAGGTTCCTGCTAACTTTTCTTAAACTGCTCGTTCCCATCTCGATGTCCTACTGTCCTGACCCTGTATTGAGTGCAAATTGTTATCCACGGGTAGCTGTCCTGATATTGCTAACGTGAGGATATTTAATTCTAATTTCACGAAGACAGGTCTTGGACTTTTTTTTAAAAATTACATTAAGTCAATGCTGACATTTAGGTTGCAGGATTTTTGTTTCCACTTTACTTTTCGAAGTATTTTGAAGTAGGGTTGCAGCTACAGGCCATTAACTTCTCTCCTGTTTCTTGTCAAATTGATGTAGGTCATAATGATTACGGTTATCATCAACCAGCGTATCCTGAACAAGGCTATGATAGGCCTTATGAGGATTCCTCACAACATTACTACGAAGGAGGTATATATATACCTTCACACACATGCCTATAACCACACATATATACACGTACATAAATATACCTTGACCCACATACCCTCGCACACATACATACTTTAACGTGCATACATATACCCACAAACAGACATACGCACACACATACACACATGTATCTATATATACACACACACACACACACGTGTACCTACACACAGACACACACACTTTACTTCCGAGTTGGAGGCCTTCGTGCTCCACCTTTGCAAAGCTCTTAATAGAACAGTAGTTTCTGGCTGTCATCAGACTTGCAGGAGAATCCAAGCTTCCAAATTAATTTTCTTACAAATGCTTACAACTGTAGTTTGTACATTTCTAACATATTAAACACCGCTTTACCACAGCAAAAAAATTAAATCACTGTCTACCTTTTTTTGCTGCTCATAATAGAACACACTTTAAAGATTAACCCACACAGACACACACACACACCTCAGTCAGGTCAATAATTTGGTATGCAGTGCCCGCAAGAAAACAGCTTGCTGATTTATTTTTATGTGTGTGTGTAGCTAGTCTGTGCTTTTTGTAGCTGTCCTTATTGTCTTGGTTTGCTTTTTATTTAGTGTAGCTACGTCCTAATGATTGTTTTGTTACTATGGGTGTGATGCTCGTTATTGCAGGGACGCTGAAAATGCTGCAGTTAAACTTGCAAAAGAAAAAAAAAATTAATAAATAATGGCTTCGGTGCAGGTTTTCTTTTGTTTGGCCGAAATCCTTTGTTCGGTTTAGGCGTCGTTTCTCTTGGGTAAAGAGAGAGCGTTTTCACTTTCTCCCCCTCGTTTGTTGACTGTTCTCCACCGAAGTCTGCGGCAGTTTACGTGGGGGAAAAATGTTGACGTAACCTTCACACGTCTTCTGCAGGTAATGCGCAGTACGGCCAACAGCAAGATGCGTATCAGCAAGGACCTCCACAGCAACAGGGTTATCCACAGCAACAGTACCCAGCTCAGCAGGGGTATCCAGCACAGCAGCAGGGTTATGGTAAGCAACCACTCAGGACGTGTACTCATTAGGCCCAGCAGATCGTGACAAGGATTCACACTGGTTTGTAGATTACTTTCTGTATTTTAAGAAAAAAACGTCTGCTGTTGTCAGATGCTAAATAAATATAGCGCAGGAGGTGTTTTTTTTTCTCTCTCTCTCTCTCTCTTCCTTCGTTTCTTCCAATCTCTCGGCTGTGTGACTGCCTGGCGCTGTGGGCTTTCTTGCTCACTCGTCTCTCTTTTTCTTTCCTTCCTTCCGTCCATCTTTTCTTCCTTTTTTTCTCTTCTCTCTCTCTTTCTGCCCCCCCCCCCCCCGCCCACCCTTGTTTTTCACTGTGACTGTTGTCCTTTCAAGGTGTTGCCTCTAGTCTGTGAGAAAGAGTTGCTGCTCCGCTCTGTACCTCACCCACAGAAGCTGTTCTTTCTATATGTGACTAGAACAGGAGTGTTGAGATGCTTTGTGAAAAATTGGGGATGGAAAGGGAGGTCGGGGGTGGGGAGGGGGAGCATCCCAAACACTGCCGGATCCTATCCTAACCACTTACATATCCTCCCCGTAAGAACTACTGGTTAATGATCAGACGTGGAATCCCATCCTGTGTATTTTTTACTGTGAGAGGTGCTGATTAGCTTGTTGCCTCTATGGTGGGGTGGGGGGTGGTAGGCAGGGAAGAAAGAGAGGAAAGGTAGTGTCTAGGCTTCTTGAGGCAGTACATCACCTCATTTATGTTGCAGCGCTGATGTACAAATATCGCGCTGTTTATTTCTGCTGGTTTCCAATCTTCTGTGCATTCCAAATACAGGGTGATTCATAGTACATATGGACTGTGGATCTTTGTCTTGTTTGGTCCTTCGACAAGATTGGTTTGGGTGAAGAAGGTCCTTTGGTCGATCTGATCTTGTTTCGCCCGCAAAATATACAGTCAATTCACTTTACAGCATATTCTGTGAAGTGCTTTGTGGTGTCTTGAAGATGTGATAAGGCGCTGTATCAAACGCAAGGATTACTATTATTGTTATTAACCTTTGCATCCCACCAGCACACCCACCCTTCTGTCCCCCATCAAAACATCAAGCTACAGCCTTGTTACATTCTAAGGCAGAATCTATGGAGTTTATGGATCGGAACTCACCACATTATAACTGGTGGCCTTGAAGTTTGAATGAGATATTCTTAGCTAATCATACTGGGGTTTACTTCAGCCAAGCACCATGAAAAGTCGGGACAAATTCAACCAACCGAAAACTTTTAAGTGACAATTGAAGCCTGTCGACTGGGCCCTGCGCCCACAGTCAGTTCCCTAAATCCCTGAGCAAACAGCTTGAGCACAAGAGTAAAATAATAATCCTTGCATTTAATATAGCGCCTTATCATGTCTTCGAGACGTTTCAAAACACTTCACAGAATATACTATAAGTGAATTATCTCATTCCTCAGTTGGGTTCAATCATTTTGAGCCACATTCGCCAGACATTATTAATAATTAATCAATATTATAATTATTATGTTATAACTAATTTGATATTGTACCTTTCACCTCTCAAAGCTATTCATGGGATTTTAATGTATTTTGTTGACTAACGTGACAGTGATTTCCTTTGGCCTTGGTGAAAAGAGTGACCACTTTTATTTGGGGGATTGTTGACTAGGACACCTGGAGAGAAACTCCTCTTCTCTTTTGGAGTTGTGCTGCGATATCTTTAATGTCCACCTACACAGGCAGATGGGACCTTGGTTTAATGTTGCATCTCCAACAGTGCAGCGCTCTTCCGAGCGTCAGCGTGGACTATATGCATTCCAAACTTGAATCCACGGCCTTCTCACTCAAAGACGAGAATCCAGACGACTGAGCCAGTGTCATTCTGATTGCAGGTCCTTCACCAGGTGCTCCAAGTCAGTATCCCAACTATCCACAAGGTCAAGGTCAGCAGTATGGAGGATATCGACCACCTCAGCCAGGACCACCACAAGCTCAACAGAGGCCTTACGGCTATGACCAGGTACAGAACCTGTGCAGTCTTTTGTCACAAAAGTTAAAATGTGGAGGCCGCTGCCTTGATGTTATCCCCTTCCCTTTCTTTCCAAAAACCCTCCCTATCTCTCCTCTCTCTCCTCCCCCCCATCAGCACTCCGAGACATTGTCCTGCCTGAAGAGCGTTACATACATGCAAGTTGTTGTTGTGGGTGTCTTAATAAACTAACTGCAAAGGCCAGGGAGATCACAGGCACACTTGGCTCTGGGCTGAATTGTGCGTTTTGATCGTAACTAGGTCGGCAGCTATAGTCTCAATAGTCAGGGTCTCAACATCACTGGGAGATGTTCTGGGGAGGAAGGGGAGAGAATAACAATAAGATGTTAACAATGAGGGGATCTCCTCGAGACGCATTAAAATTTTAAATGGGACTGAAAAAGTAAACTCAGAACAACTCTTTAGAATGCAGCAAGAGACAAGAATAAGGTTTGGAGCTGTAAAGGGCAGTTCAGGACATGAATGGCCTTGTAGGTGAGGATCTTCAATTCGATCCTCTGGGGGATGGGAGCCAGTGGAGGCGAGCGAGGGTGGGAGTAATGTGGTCCCGAAGCCTGGTGCGCGACAGTACACGAGCTGCAGAGTTCTGAACATAGTCCAGGATTTTTCTTTACCTTGAGGCTAATTAATGGCTGGAACAGGTTGAGGCCATGGCAATGGGACTCAATTAAAAGCAGCTTGATGCTGTGATGGGAGGACGAACGGACGGATGGGTGCTTGGGAGGGATGAGATCAGATATGTCAAAGGGATTTTATCCAAACCAATCTTGTGATTTCTACAGAGAAGGCTGTAGAGGCCGAATCAATTGAGATTTTTTAAAAGCGAGGGGATACTTTGGGGTAAGTAAGTTACCCCATTAAGTTAGGATAAAAACAATAATAAATTGGTCACTTCAATCCACGACTGTTTGTGGGTCACTGCTGTGCGCAATGGCTGCCACATTTAGCCCACAAATATACAGTCAATTCACTTTGCAGTATATTCTGTGTTGCGCCTTTGAGGCATCTAGAAGATGTGAAAATGCGCAATATCAAATGCAAGGATTATTATTAGGGGTATGGTGGGAAAGAATGAGAAAAAGGTTTGCTGTTATCTAATAAACTGGTGGAACAGACTCAGTGGCTGAATGAATGCCTCCTTCTGTTCCTATTGCCAGAGAACAGAATTACTACCACAAATAAGAATAATACTTGCATTTGATAATAGTATCTTTCATGTTGGGAGGATGTCTCTGAAGTATCTGTCGTTTAAGCGTCTCATCCGAAGGACGGCACCTTCGACAATGCAGCAATGCCCAGCAGTGCATTGAAGTGTCAGCCTAACTGTATGAGCTCATGTTCCGACATAGGGCTTGAACCCACAACCTTCTGGCTTGAGAGGTGAAAGTGCTCCCGACCTAGCGAGGCTGACAACCAAGTGAAGTGGATAAAACCAGGCGGAAATTGCTCAAATTTATCATCTATTCAGCATCAGTGAATAGAGATATCTGGAGTGAACAACGGGTTAAAGCCATGTCCTCTCGTGACACAGCTTCACAGACTGTTGCAAGTTTGGACTGATATTCATTCACATCTCCCTGCCCTTCCCAGTTCTTGGTCTTGGCAACTAGATGGAGCTCTCTGCCCGGATGGAGGAGAGTCTGGAAGAATCAGCTTTGCAGAAATGCACCTCGTGTCAGACAGCTGTGTCAATGGCATCAGCGTCCACTGAGCTCAACAATCCTCGGTTTTCTGTGCTCCAGGTCGATGTGCCTCATTGACACAAAGGAGAAAAGGGGATTAATTTTGAGGGGGGGGAATTGGAGGTGGAATATTTTAAAAAAATCCTTGTACATGATACAATGCCTTTCTTGTCGAGTGGAGGTCTCAAAGCGCTTCACGGGATATACTGTTAAGTGTAGTGACCATGTTTTGTAGGAGAATAACGCAGCCAATTTGCACAAAGCAATGTCCCGCACGCAGCCATGAAATGAACGACCAATTTTATTTGGGGATTGTTGGCCAGGACATCGGTAGAAACTGGGTGGGTGGTGTTTTAATCAAAACCGCAGTTGAAAACTAACCCACTCCAGCACTGCATTGAGTGTCAGTTTAGACAATATTGTGTTCCAACATGGGGGCTTGAACCCACAACCTTCTGACTCGAGAGGCAGTAGTGCTACCGACTGAGTTAGACTGATGCCAATATTTTGTTTAAAAAAAAGAAAGTTATGGGGGAAAAGGCAATCGGGCTGGCTTTGGCACAGTGGGGCGAAGTAGTCTCCTCCTGTGCTAAAATAACTGAAAATGGGATTGCCTGTTAAAGCTGTTCAAAGAGACAGCAGCGATCAGCACTCTGGTCTGTCTTATTTTGGTACTGATTGTCATTTTTGCATCGCTGTTAACTGAGTCACGGCTCTGACTTGCTCTCTTTCCTTTCCAGGCCCAATACGGAAACTACCAGCAGTGAGTCCAGTCTGCGATTCGGTTGCATTCCAATAGCCTGACATGTAGTAGCAGCCATGTTGTTATCCTCAGCACTGAAACATCCCGTGACATAAATCCAATGCTTCATCTCAACATGATTCCTTTTGAGAGGGACAAACCTTCTGATGTCTGGGTGGCTGCTGCTCCGCAAACATACAAAACCAAGGGCAGAGTCTGGCTCAGATGGTGTTTTTTTAATATGTCATCATGAGGGGTGGGGGTGGGAGGGAGGGAGGGAGTAGGAGGAGGCGGTGGGTGGGTGGGATGGGTGTGACTGAAGGTCAACCTAAGGCAGTGATTAGCATTGAGCTGCCCTTGTGCACAATTGTGCAGAGTCAAACAGTTGCCGAATATCAGAGACGAAACTTGCCAAGTTCCATCTAAGTGTTCATCCAATTTGTAGAAACGTGCTATATTGTAAGATTTCCTGTGTATCATCATTGCAGCATACAAGATTGGAGGGGGGTGGGGGGGAGGGAATGAAGTGGAGTGGGAGGGGTTGGGGATTATTATGGGAGTTCAAATGTTTTCTGCTTCAACAAAACTAAGAGTATTACTCTTTTTGTAAAATAGCAATACTTTGCAGTATTTTTTATATATTGATTTATTTAAATAAAGCCCGAATTCACTTTGACGTGAACGCAACCGAAATAAAAGTATAAAAAAAAGTGGTTTTTTTCGTTTGTTCGGAAAACAGTGATACTTTTGGTTTTGACCAAATGAGGGGGTGGGGGGAAAAATGAGAGAAACAGAGAGAGGAAAAACAAGCGATCAACAAGGGTCACAAATCTGCTTTGGTTAACTCAGTATAAGATTATATGAGGGCATCAGAAATCTGAGCTCGCTCTACATCCCTTACCAGTGAACAAGCTATAACTTGGGGGCTCTCCCAGAAGGAAAACTAGTACAAAGAAAAATAAGTGGGGGAAAAAAACAAAAATAATGGGTCAAACATTGTCAGTGTACAAATGTGTTTTAGGCTTTGGTAACAATGACGATTTTTGTATAGTAAGTGTCGAAACTTTAGGATAGATGGACTTGCTAGCTTATGTCTTGCTTTTACTTTCTTATCTTACTGGGAACGGTAGTGTTTAGAAGAGTGGTGACTATTTTTTGATGAGAACCAGTTTTTAAATGTCAAAACACAAAACCAAGTAACTTTTAAAAACAACGCCCTTCTGATTCAGGAGTATTTGGAGGGAGGGGGGAGTGGGAGGCTGGAGGTGAGAGTAAGGACGGGGGCTCAGTGGGGGAGGGGGCTAACAGGCAGTCAATCAACTACGATCACAGTATGCGCAGAGTGGCAAAGCATAAACAGTATTACAGTAGCTATAATAGCCAACCACTTGTAGGTTCTGTGCCAACCTCCTCCACTGGGTATTCCATTGCTATTTAAATCTGTACATCACTGGATCTTAACAATAAATTATTGTGATTTTAACATGCTTTTTTTGTGTGTGTGTCCACTGTTTTCTTTCTTGGAGACCATCTCGTTAATTAAGCGTTCACTCGCGTATGGCTTTTTTTTTTAAACCCCCATTAAATCGTGTGAGTCAGGAAACTGCTGCTTCGTACTTGTGGGAATGCCATTATTATTATTTGGTTTAGCGCTTTTCATGCCAGGAGGCTGCCCCAAAGGACTTCACAGGATATATTGTAAAGTTCAGTGACTGTTTTGTGGGTGAATACGCTGCACATTTGGTACAGCAATGCCCCACAAACAGCTGTGAAGTTAACGACCAATTTTATTTGGAGGATTGCTGGCCAGGACACGAGAAGAAACTTCTCTTTTCAAATAGTGCCACCGGATCTTTAGCATCCAACTGAATAGCAGAGAGGGCCTCGGTTTATTGTCTCATTGGAAGGATGGTCAAGAATTAAAATTGAAAATCTCAATAGAGCTTCAGATCCGTCAAACTCATTTGATCTCTGCCCTCTGCTTTTTCTTAAGAGTCCACTGGCCTGGCCATCTCCACATTCTTCCAAGTAACCTGTTAAAGCCTTTGGTGGTGGAGAGCATTTGCCTCGCAAACAAGAGGAGCCGGGTTTGACTCCCGGGCAAAGCAAAATTTTAGGCAAGTTTTCTTACTCCACACGACTCTTTACAACAACAAAATTACATTTGTAGAGCGCCTTTCACGTCAGGAGGATGTCCAAAAGCGCTAGCAATAAATAGGAACCTGGTTGGTAGTCAATTGGAATGTTTTCCAGGGGTAATAATCCCTTGAATTGTTTTTAATAATAATTTGGTCACTCAGTCCACAACTGTTTGTGGAACACTGCTGTGCGCAATTGGCTGGGAAAAATAGTCAATCCACTATACAATATATTCTGTGAAGCACATTACAATGTCTCTATGATGTGATAAGTGCTGTATCAAATGAAATGATTACTATTATTTGGTAAAGAAATACTTCCTGGTTTCTGCGTTAAATGCATGTTTCGCGAACCTGGACATCTTCTGTGATGTTTTGGTGCCTTGGTGTATCTTGCAGAGTTGTGTTGAGTGATGCAGCACTGAAAAAGCCCATTCAGCCCAATTAGTCCGTGCTGATGTTTATATTCCACCCCTCACCAATCCTATTCCCCTCCCATATACCCTTTATTCCCTTCTCCCTCATCTATGTATGCGCCTTACCTGTGTATCTGAAAGTATATGGTGTTCGATACAGTCGATCACGCCACCCTCCTTCACTGCCTTTCCTCCGTCATCCACCTCAGTGGGACCGAACTCGCCTGGTTCGACGCCTATCTCACAAACCGCCAGCAGTACATCTGCACAAATGGCTTCTCCCGCTCTCACCCGGTCACCTGTGGGGTACCCCAAGGATCCATCCTTGGCCCCCTCCTCTTTCTGATCTACATGCTCCCTCTTGGGGATATCATCCGCAGACATGGGGTACACTTCCACAGTATGTGGATGACACCCAACTCTACGTTTCCATCCCCAGTCCCCTGATGTTCTGTCAGCCTGCCTGTCAGATCTCAGGGGCTGGATGAGCGTGAATTTCCTGCAGCTGAACATTGACAAGATGGAAGCCATACTCTTTGGCTCTCGGAAACGTCTAAAATCTCCCGGACCTCCCCCTAAAACTCTCTGAACACGTATGCAACCTCGGCGTCAGATTTGACCCACGACTATCCTTCTTCCCCCACATCCGGTCCCTCACCAGCACCGCTTTCTTCCACCTCCGACATATCGCACATCTCTGCCAATGCCTCACCCCAAAAGCCACCAAAACCCTGGTCCATGCCTTTGTCACCTCTCGGCTGGACTATTCTAACGCCCTCCTCGCCGGTCTCCCATCCACTACCATCCATAAAATTCAGATCATTCAAAACTCTGCCACCCACATTCTCACCCGCACCAAACTCTGCTCCCCGATCACCCCAGTCCTTGCCAGACTGCACTGGCTGCCTGTCCCAGAGAGGATTGACTTCAAGATCCTCATCCTTGTCTTCAAATCCCTCCACTCCTCTGCACCTCCCTACCTCTCTGACCTCTCTCCTCAAAATAGGACCCGTTGCCTTCATTCCTCTGGGTCTGGCCTCCTCCGAGTCCTCTGTTCCACCCTCAGTGGCCGTGCCTTCAGCCACTATGCCCCAAGCTCTGGAACTCCCTTCTTCACTCCCTTCACCTCGCCCCCTCTCTTCCTATTTTCAGGTCTCTGCTGAAGACCTTTCTTTTTGACCGCGCCTTTGATCACCTCCCTCCCCCTCCCGCTGGTCCTGGGATCCGTCACTGTGAAGCCCTCTGAGATGCCGTCCGGCGTGGAGGGCACTATATAAATCCAAGTTGTTGTTTCAGTTTGATATATTTGCTCCTCTTTGTGCTGCCTGGCATGTACATGGATAAGCTTATTGTTTTAGTGACCAGGACTACACGCTATATCAGGTGAGGCCAGAATTATTACTTTCCGGAAAATGATCCACCAATTGACTAACAGCTGGGTTCCTAACGTACTATTAGGTAAACAGAGGGTTGCGGAATGAGGAAACTTGCCTAATGTTTTGCTCTGCCCAGGAATCGAACCTGGGTCCTCTCGCTTGCGAGGATATAGTTAAACACAGGACGTTACGTAAATAAAATAGGCAATTTGGCCCAACCAATCCTGATGTTTATACTCCACACGATCCCCCTATTCTCCTCTCCTTCATGTATCTATCATGTTTTCTCTTAAACACATTGATGTGATTTGGTTCGATCACAGCTTCCGGCAATGAGTTCTACATTCTCACCACCCTCTGCGTGAAGAAGATCCTGTTGTTATTAAAAAAAATACACTTGGAAGTATGTATCCGTAATCCATTTCCCCAGTTGTGTTGATAAGTTATGCGCCGGGTGACTTTTCCCACTGAAATAAAATCTTAAAATGTTTTCCAAGTGCGTGTCAAACTATGCTGTAAGCTTATCCACGAGAATTACTTTGTCAGTGGCAAGGAAAGCAATAGGGAAACACGTGAAAGTAACAGGAGGCCTTTGACCCACTCGGTTACACTGGTAGCCAGAGCCGTTAAAGCTTTGAATTAATTGGCTTCAACTATAATAGCATCGGGATGTGCTTGAACTGAGAAGGAAAATAGCACTAATAAGCTGAGCCCCTGCTGATATGCTTGGTTACTTGTGCACTTATATCAGGGGTGCAGGTATCCATCTACTTATTTTCCGATCTGTGTGTGTGTGTATGCTTCTAATGTGATTCATGCTTCTTTTTATATTTCATTTATTCGCCTGTTCGGGAGGGACGTTAAAGATCCCATGGCGTTGTTCGAAAAGAAAAGGGACTTTCTCCCTGATGTTTCTTCTGGTTAACAATTCCCTCCCCGCTTTCTCCCCAAATAAAATTGGTCAGTCACTCTGTGGCTGTTTGTACGACATTGCTGTGCGCAATTTGGCTGCTGTGTTCGCCTGCAAATACACAGTCAATACACTTCACAGCAAAATCCTGTTGAGACAATTCAATAATGTGATAGGCAATGTATCAAATGCAAGGAATATTACTATCAACATGGCTCAGTCCCTCATCACTTCCAATTGACTTGCAATTGCCCAATCTTTTTACATTATAAAACCCGCAACAAAGGGTTTGCTCACTCAATTTACAGGCATTGAGTGACCTTACCCTACGATCTCCTGTACAGTGCTCAGAGACACATGTTCCATGTTTTGATGCTTCTGAAATGCTTTGACCAATAAATCATTATTTTTATTAACATAATAATTATTATTATTAGCGCAATGTTTTATATTTTAATTTACTAATATGCCGATGAGACTAATAATAAATATTAATATATTTATTCAATATAATAAATATTGAAACAGCGTCTTTTCACGCTGGGAGAATGTATCAAAACGCTATACAGTATATACTGTAACGTGAAGTGACTGGGTGTTAAAAAACTTAAACTTAAAATCCCTTTTAAATGCCTTAAAAAAAACGACTAATAATAATTTGGTCATTCAATCCACGACTGTTTATGGGACACTCCAAGGATTTCCTGCACTGCTGTGCGCAATTGACTGTCGCATTTCGCTCACAAAATACCCGGGCAATTCACTGTCCAGTATATTCTGTGAAGCCCTTTGAGACGCCTCATAGACATGATAAGGCGATATATCAAATGCAAGGATTATTATTATATTAAAAAAATTGATCATTCTTTCCATGACTGTTTGTGGGACACTGCTGTGCACAATTGGCTGCCGTGTTTCGTCCACAAATATGCAGTCAACTTGCATTACAGTCTTCTGAGAAGTGCTTTGAGACGTTTATAAGACGTGAAAAGCGCTATATCAAATGCAAGGATTATTATTATTGTAAAATTAGACTTGCATTTTATGGCTGCGTGTGGAACATCTCTGTGAAAATTGACTGCCGTGTTCACCTAAAAAATACACAGTCACTACACTTTGCAGGATATCCTGTGAAGCGCTTTGAGCCGCCATCCTGACATGAAAGACGCTATATCAAATACAAGCATTATTTTTCTTATTAGATTTCTGAAAATAAATATCAGAAAAAATCAACACTGCTTCAACAATATTTTTTCCCAATTCTTTTTCCATTTTAAAACCTATTGTCATTGTTTTCCCCTTTTGATGACCAAGCTTTAAGTTTGTTTGATTAATACTTACCTTTTAAACAGTAGAGTGGAAGTGCTATTTTTAACTATGCACAATGTATTATGATGACAGTACAAGTTGGAAGACAAATTACAACACTTACTGAAGTGCATTTAAGCACAGTTTGCACTAAAAGCTGATAGATTATATTGATTATTGTTGTTACCAAACCTAAACTACATCATTTATTACAGCGTTTCACCTTGTACCAGACCACGTTATCCTGTTAAGAGTCCTCCTTTGATTCTCCAAAAGCAAACCTACATTTTAATCCCACTTTTTTTAAAATGCCCTAGATATAATATCCAACTTGATTCT